CAGCATTTCTTACAATCATAATCGTTTCATAATTTCTAAAAAAAAAAAAAAAAAATCATTAATCTAATCCTCTAAAAATATATTTCACAAAAAGAAAAAAAGTATTTTCAATTTTTCTTACCAAAAATGAATTGAACTCACAGAAGATAATATCGATGATTCATATATATAACACCATAATCAATCGTATTTACATTTATTTACAAATCAATTAATGAAAAATATTGGTAATTTGTCTTTCTTTTTTAGGATATTATTATGCAATACTAAACCTCGAAAAACGATGAACGAATTTTTCACCACGATTTCGAAATTAAGATAAAAAAATCGGATCGGTGGAAAAGCAGGAAGCACGATTCTCGACCACACGCGATCCGACGTTTCTTAATGGACTGAGAGGGCCGATTCGATCACACCACACTACATACTTTCTATCTACATGGGAGTAGGAAGAAAGCTGTAAGAAGTGGGGTCTATTTGAACTTAAATGTAAAACTTAATTTTGGTGAAAGTTATCTTTTTTTGGATATAACTTTTTTTATATAATTTATAATTTAATGCTGCTGATATTACATAAAGATAATGTATGACTCTGAAAAGAGATTTGAAAAATAGCTGCCCAGGGTATATAATATTTTTTTGTTTGAAATTATTTATATAGATCTTACAATGAAAATTTTTGTTTCCCTACAGTATTCTTATTTAAATAATTTTATAATTTACAATGCAATGAATTTATTTTACATTATACAAAGAGAATTATAAAAGGGTTGTTAAAATTATTTTACATTACATTGAACAAACTGTTATAAAAGTATAGAAATATTTTTGCTTGCAATTAATTGTACAATTTTTAATATAATTTTCCAACATTGCAACGTTTTGTTTACTTAATTATAATTATATTCACCAATTTCTAGGAATTACAGGTTCTAAGACATTTTCTTTGAATAATTGATTTTGCTTTGTCACTTTGCGTCATTATTGTAATTATAAGAAGAAAAGGTCGTAGGTTATTAGACAAAAGGAAATCACGTCTCAAAAAATTTAAAAAACACTGGTGTAATGCAATGATGATCGACAATAGTTTCGCAAAAAGGGAAGACGATTGACGTTGATTTAGCTGAAGCTAATTTGCGACAATTTCCAATGGTAATCGAATGGAAAATAATGTAATTTCGTTTGAATTTGATGTTTTGAAAGAATGTATCGTAACAAAGTGAATTATTATTATCCAGTAAATTTAATAACTTTTGATATTTTTATTTAAAATTCTAACTAAATTTTAATTATGTTTTTTTTTTGTAGTTTTCTTGTCATCATTTAAGATGTTTATACATATTTATACATTTTTATATACAATTTTATTTTATTTATAAGATTTGACATTTTAAAAATTAAAACATCTTGAAGTACTCTTCAGATTAATAAATTTCATTATCAAGCAAATTTCATTACAATAAAATAAAAACTATAAACAATTATAAAGTGACAATAATACAATTAGACAATTAATACAATTACAATATTAATTTTATTTTTATTTCAAAAAAGTTAATCTGAATATATAATATTGTATTTGTTATTCAGAAACATGAAGCTGTGAGTCGAATTAAATGGTTGTATCTTTCTTTGTTAAGATAGATATTGTGAATCATAAGTTCAACTATTATACAGTATTTACTTACCACAAAGCAATAAAGATGAATATAATTATTACAAGTTATTGGATGGAAACATAATTAACTTTTTCTTACCATATCTTAATTATTTAATGAAAAGATTCCATATTTATAAAACAAAAATTATTTATTACATTTCTGTTAACAACAATTTTGCTTATATCCCATTTCTAAAATTTCTTAATATTCATTTAATCACTTTTAGAGAGTTGACTCTAAAGAACAAAATAAATACAAATATTGATGTGCAAAAATAATGATTGAAACTTATTTACAAGTTAAATTATAAGCGATTAAAGTTTGCGTTAGATAAAGCGAGACAGAGATAATGAGGTAGCGATATGACAAAGACAGAGCTATTCGTTTAACTAAATTTCAATTGGATATAACTCAATAAATAAATCTCAATTGATATTTTTGCGTTTCTTTTGGAAGAGAGCTGGAAGAATTGTATTTCCTTAAGTGTTTCATGAAGATATATATATTTACATTCTGTAAAAATGAAAACTTTCAAGAATCAAGGACAATTAAAGATCGTATAATATAAACAAGTACCATTAAGATCCATTTTTGCGTAAAGATTGCGTAATCTTCGAATTAAAGCATAAATATTTCGATCTTTGAGGAATAAAAGCTGTGACCGTGACATAAATTATACACCTGTCATCATAGATACGCTCTTGTTCTCTTGATTGTTATCATAATCTATTTCGTAATTGCCTACTTTTCTCATTATGTGTATATATTACAAAAATATTTTATGCGAAAATGCGAAACTAATTTTTTTAATGTACAAATTTTTCAAGAACATAAACACTTGTAACATTTTTTGTGATGTTAAATGATGGTAAAATGTATATTTAATATAAAATCATCCACAATAAATTACACAATACAAAACAAAAATATAAATGAACTGTATTCGAAGTATAATTTAATATTTCTTTTAATAGAATTTTTAAATAAAATTAATTTAAAAAAAAATCTCAAATAACAATAAAAATAAGAAACTTATGTTTCAATTAAAGTTATACTTAAAAAAAAATCAAAAATCATACTTTTGAAGCATAATAATTGTGTCACGAAAAGCTTATCTACTTACTGTGCATAATAATAGAAGCATAATTTGTACAAATTATGCTTCTATTAAAATAATAAAAAATTTTTAAACAAATGATGAAGATAAACAATGACAGAAAATTTTAAATCTTTTTATAAAATCTATGAAAAACTATTCTACAGATAAATGATTATTAAAACTTAATATTGGATGTCATAAAAATCATAAATTAAAATGTCTTATTCAATTTTCATTATCATCATTCTTCTAATTTCATGTAACTTTTATTAAATTTAAATCTAATTAAGAATTTATTTTCTAATCTTCTAATGTAAAAAAATTCTTAAATAAAATATACTTCAAGTATTAATTTCACTTCCTCGAAGAGATTTTCCATCAATAAAACAATCCTACTTCCATATCGCTTGATCAAATCGCACATATACACAAGCTTTCATTCAATTTTCAGGTTAGGTTTCCTTTTAAAGTAATATTGCATAATAAGGACACTTATACATCGTTGGCTGGGTAAACATTTAGCATAAATCTCAATGCATGTACCATGTCTAGATTAACTAAGAGGATCTTTTCGAAAAGGATTACGGGGCCAAACGGTCACGCGTGCAATCCGCTAACTAAGAATGTTGCAATTATATGTCGTCGCGTTTTCATTGAGTTCGTTAGGGAGATCGCGAATAGATTGTGTAGAGGGAGCTGCGAGTGTATTTAGTAAGAGTTTTGTAGCTGCTTTGCGACTCTCCCTTCGATTTTGCAATCAGTGACCACAGCTACTGTAAATACGATGCTCGCGCCTCTGCGGTGAATCCAATTAATATTAGTAATCGCATGGAGAATGTTGCAAAAGTACACAATTTGTATCATTTACTTATGTTAGTTAGTTTGTTTTTCTTCAATTCTAGTGTTATTTCTCAAGTTATTGATATCACAAATAATAGATTAATATAGAATATCGTAGAAAAAGCGATCTTAAAACGAATTTGTGTAACGCGTTATTGACGTATACGCATAATTGATAATATGAAATATTATTACAGGGTGTTTTAGAATAAACGATAACAAAACTTTGTTTCGCTATCATTTTTTCCCTTTCACGATTCATTTAAAGGACTGAGAATTATCAATATGTTATTAATATGTGATTAATTATATAGAATATTAATATAAAATGTTCCAGAAGAAGCAATCCCAAGATGTCCAATCTATCTTTTTTCATTCTTTTTTTTCTTTTTTATTATTTCTTTTTAATAATATATTTGAAGGATTAAGAATTGTCGAATTACTGAATATTAATATAGACTAAATAAAACGATAACTTTTATCTTTTTTTCTTTTATAATATATTTGGAGAGCTGAGAATCATATTGATACAAATCTAGAAAATAAAAATCTATTAGTTTAGATTATTTCAATAAATTGTTATATATTTAATTTTAGCAGTCTAAATTTTTATATAATTAAATATAAATTTTTAAAGGATTTATAAAAAGAAAATTAATATTCAAATCAAAAGATTGATCTTTGCCCACAGAAATTATATATGGGTGGTCATATAATAAAAATGATAATTTAGTATCTCCAATCGATTATAAAGTCGATTGTAAAGTCATCGTTTCGTAATATAACATACCTAAAATCAGCAAATCTAAAAATAAAATTCACGACATTGATCGAACACTTTTAATGAAAATTTTAAAAAGCGGAATTTAAAAAAAAAAGAAAAAGAATCGATTTAATTAAACTGAACAATTCAATAAATGAATAAAAATATATAAATTATATAAATTAAAACAAACAAATAAATTGCATATTTTGTGAAATGTGAAAATCTAACTGCAATTTTACAAAAGATATTCACGATGTGTAACTAAAATGTCAGAAAGTCACCGGATTGTAAAATTTATGAGACTTTAAGTCGTGACCGAAATTTTTTAGAGACTTTTCAGTTTCGATTCTAAAAGTATACATATATATGCAAAAACTACACTATTCTATTTATCGTACAATGCATATTAAGTGATATAATATTTGTCATGTAATAAATATAACAATCTTGCACAACATTTATTTTATAATATTGTAACTATAATAGAATGTAAAATTTATCTCTGTTAATTGTAATAACATGATATCGTATTACGTAATAAAATATATTGTAATATGACAAATGTTATATTATATACATATATATGTGATATTAAACATATATTGATATTCAACATTAAAACCAGAAACTAATTCAGATTCACCTTCAATTAAATCAAAAGGAGTTAGATTTAATCAATTAATATTCTAATAAATATCAATAAATATAATACAATAAAATTGAAAATTTAATTTTATTTTGATAATTTAAAAATTCATAAAATGAAAACGTTTCAATTAATATTATTAATCTAAATACTATAAAAAATAAATTAATTTCAAAAGAAGTTATTGTTGCTACTAAATTAGGTATTGAACCTATAATCGAATAATTAGAAATTCAACCAATAAATAATACAGGATACTGGACTTCTATTCCTAAAATTATAATATTATGAATATAAAATAATAAAATAATAAAATAATAAAATTATAATATTATAAATAAAATTCCATAATTTAATACATATATATGTATACAACAAACAGTTATATATATTTAACCAATATGTAAATATATTATTACATCATATAATAAATAAACGAATACACGCATGATTAATGAGTATAATTAATATTAACATATGAATACGTTGTGCAACATGCTAATTAATCAATTAATCAATAATACAAAGTACATAAAAATTTTTCATCGTTACGTTAGTTATTTCATATAGGACTATAAAAATTATAAATACTATAATAAGAAAATATCTTTATTGTGCACAACCATTGTGCACGGACACGACTATTTATGGGATAAAGTATTATCGGTGTGAAAGAGGAGACACGTGCCTGCTTTCTTCAATTGTTAAAATTAAAAATTCATTTCGTTTCATTCGACCGTTCAAACATCTTTCCTCGCTTATATTGAATTGAAAATTACAAAACAAAGGATTATTTACTTGCTGCCACGATCGATTGAAAGTTTAGTAGTATCGTTTACTCATTGTGATGGAATCTTTCATAAACGGGCAACCAAGATAAAATATTATCGATCGATTATTTACGTAATTTATATAAAAAAAAAAAATTGTTCGCAGAAAATAATAAACGATTATTAAATAAAAAAAAAAAGATTCGTGGAACAATGGCGATAATTAAGATCAAAACAACTCTGTTTCGTCAAGCGACAATTAACAGAGTCTCGTCTAATTTGTTTATCGGAATTTTTCAATCGTTATAATTATTATATTATATTATAATTATTATCCATTCGTTTTTCTTTCGAGACGATTGTTATATCGTATTTGTAATACCATAATCGTAACGAGAAAAAACGCACGAGAAAAAATTAAATTATAATAACGAATTAACGACAAACGATCGTGAATTTGAACTTTTGCTCGTAATATAATATATCAAAGGAAAAGACAGGGAAATAACAAGAGCAAGGATGTCCTCGATGTCTGGCGCGCAATATTCGAAGCACATGTCAACAAATTTTCGAGTTGCATCTCGAGGGGTGGGGGGATTTGCAATCGAGTCGTAAATATGATCGTAATCTTTGTGAAATCTGGTGTCCAGTTTTTAAATTATATACACATTGCATGCATCGAATAGAGATTGAACGTTATAGATTGTTTGAATAATCATTCGATAACAATTATTTTTATTCGAGTTAAATAACAATGAATTGAATAAAATTTGAGATTGCATATATGTTTTTTAAATAAAATTTAATAATTTATAATTTATCCGCCAAAATTGTAAAAATTTAATTTTTTTAATTTTTTAAAAAGAGCAAGAGCAGGATAAAAGAAGAAGAAGATATGTAATTACGCATATAAATACAATATAATTTTTTACATAAGCTTAATTATCGTAAATATCATTTAAAATAAATCTCTACTAGTTGAGAACAAACTGTATACAACTTCACTATATATTTTTAAACAGGTTCGATAAACAACTTTTGGTTAAGTAATCAACTCGTTTATATAGTAAGTTCAAGTTACAGTGTCGTGCGAGTAATGGTCGACAAACCGACCGTTCTAAAGGAGGAAAAAAAAATAAAATCTACACTACAACGTAACTAAGAAATTCATATCACGAATAATAATTTGAATATCTTCCTGTATATCTTCTTGTATGGGAAAAATAAGAAAATTTTTTAAAGAAATATATCAAAAAAAAAAAAAAACAAATCCCTTTCTGACTTCTTTATTCATAGATTACACAACAGTGGTTCTCAACCTGTAAAGGAAATATTTTTTAAGAGTGTCGTTTTTACAATCATTAATAACAACATTTCTGTGAGGATGATTCGAGCGACGATGACGAGCACATTCGAGATTTATTTTCTTTATTTCGTTTAAATTAAGTTAACTTTACACTTGCAATGAAAATATTTTGAAAGAAGTGCCGTTTTCAAATTTAATTATTAACGTTATTCAACAATTGCTGTTGAAAATTATTTGAGTAGTAATAAAAGAATTTTACTTGAATAACTGCAATCCAAGAAAGGATTGTAAAAAATCATTGGTAGACACGTTTATGATTTGTGGTAGGTCACGAAAACTTGCTTCTGTCAACTTATGATCGACTGGTCTCATCGGATCTCCTTATAAATGTATATATTCTAATGCGGACGTGAGTGGTTTTTTAAAAATCGTCTAAAACGTTTTATTATACTTTACTGTGAAAAAAAAACTGGTTTTTATTTATTCCATGAATTTTAATATCAAATCAAATTTTTCTCATATTTTTTCATACGTGTTACATTTCAACAATTCATTTTATTCCATAAATAACTCCACTTCGAATAAATTCATTTTTCCATTCCAAGCAATATTTCTTTATTTTTTAAAATTAATTAATTAAAAAATGGAGTTTTTAACGAACACTTGTACTCGAATCAGCTCGTAATTTTACAACATTTCGTTCGATAACGTGTTTACATTTAAGATAAATCTTATTCAAAAAAAAAAAGATTCCACTTTTCATGTCGAATTCTGTTTTAAAATATTTTAAACACCACTTTGTAAGGAATTTATTAAATTTCGAAATTTTCAACGCTTCTTTTTTATTCAAAATCTCTCGAAATTATATTAAATTCTCTTCGTTAATTCGAAATTTGCAAGATAAGAATTATGCAAAAAAACATAATAATAATAAAATAATAAAAAAATTAAAAAAATTACATTTAAATAAAATAATACGTAAGAATAATAGTATTATAATATTGTTAACAATCACAGTGTGAAATATTACGACCGATACGAACGGCGGCATAGAAAGTAATAATCAATCGTCATTAATACCCGAATTTATTTTGATTTTACGGAGTCGCTTTCCAAACACGGAGCGAAACGGTCGTGTTTCCATTTGCTCCGCGAACGAATATTATATCGTTTAATTAATCGATGAATTATCGTGCAAAATAATTGTAAATAAATTAAATGACCAATATAAATAAAATTTGTAAATAAAAAAAAAGTTAGAATAACAAAATAATAAATCGTTACAAAAATATTACAAATGAAATATTATTCGATTTTTTAATTCTAATATTATTAGATTTCGAAATTTTTAAGGTTTTTTTTTTTTTCTTTTTTTACTCGAAATTGTTCTAATGTCTAATTTCGTTTGAAATTGAAATTTGTAACATAAGAATTATGTAAAAGAAAAAAAATTTTTGATATTACCTTGCAACTTTGATACGAATCGAAGCTCGAGTCTCTTTTAATAATATCTGGTGACTTCGATGCGCGTACATGCAAATCGTTTTAACTAAATTGAAACGTTTCACAATATATTTATACCAATCAGAATATTTTCAATATAAAATTTTTAATTAATAAGTAATGAAGAAACGAGAAACGGTGATAAATTATTTTATTCGTGGAAAAACAAAAAAGATAACGTAGAATAGTTCGATCTTGATGTTATATTAATTCGATTTCATGTTATATTAATTTTTCTTATTTTTTGTTTTTCGTTTAAATTGAAATTTAAAAACGAATATTTGCATATTTTAAATATTTGATGTTTATTGTTGGTATTAAAATTTTGATTTGATACATGATTACAAATTTTCTTTCAGTAAAATATTTTTTATTAATTAATTAATTATTGAATGATCATTGATTAACTACTTTGCTATTAACAATAATTAATTGACCATCCATTTTCAAAATAGTTTTAATCTTCTTAAAGACACATTTTTTTCCCCTATGATTGCTTAACCACCACAGTTTTTTTTCTATTATTATCGTGATACTTCCTATGACATCATAAAAAAGAAGAAAAAATCTTCTTTCTTCGAAGAATGACAATCAATTATTAATTCAATTGGCAAAGACAAATTTTAGAGAAAAGAATAAAAAAAAAAAAGAAAAAATACTGAAATATAATATATATATATATAATATTATAAAATTATTGATTAAAAATTAAACAAATAAATCCAAAGTACAGGATGAGATGAGATGAGATAAGAGGTATTACATTACGAATGTCGAGATGAATCACGGTCAATGAATAAAAAAAAAATTTATGGTGGACGTTAAAAAATTCGGTGAAAAAATTTGATTGAATTGCAATATTGTTGATAAAACTAGATTCGAAGCTTGCCACGTAGTTAATATTGAATTACGTGAGAGATTTTTAAAGTGAAAGGAGAAAAATAATGGGATTTGTCGAAAATGGATAAAGATGAAAAGATGATGAAAGACGATATTCTCTGGGACAAGTTAAAACGAAGAAGAAGAAAGTTTGATCCACGAAGGTTAAATTCCAGCCTTGCAAATCTGCTTGTTTTGTATAACAAGATAAAAGTATAATTTTTTTTTTTAACAAATAACAATCTTTCTAAATTCGATAAAATTAAGTAACGATAGTATTAAATCGATTAATTAGATCACATTAAAATGTCAAAAATTCACAATTTGGAAATCATAATATTTTATAAAATTCTATTAATGAAAGCTATAATTTTTCATATATTCTATAATAATTCAAAAATTGAAAACGCGAAATGAAATGAAATATTTATCTTTTTATAAATGTTCAAAGGAATTTATAACAATTATATCCCTTAAATCATCATAATTAACAAGTTACAACTTCTTTATTATATACTCACTCAAAGAGTCAAAAGTTGAATGACACCAAAAATTTTAGGCTTTATAATACATGAATACTAGAATTACGAGAGAAAAAGATTTCTCATCCGTTTAAATCAAAAATCGAATGTTTCTCGAAAATTTCGAATTAAGGAAGAATCAATTTGACGTAAAAAAAAAAAAAAAAAAAAATTAATAGACATAAAGCGTGCAATGAAATTCTTCCAAACGCATAAAACCACCATGTGGTTTCTATGGCATTCAATGACTAAACAAGAAAGTTTAAAACTAGGAACAGGTTTCTTGATGGGCAAAGTTCACCTCAACCTGTGCACGAATGAATTTCATCTTCTGCTTCATCTGTGTCCGTGACACGTTTAAACGAGATTACGTAACATAACCTAATCTTCTCTCCTCCGGTTCGACCAGTCCCTCCGAATCCCGTTGTCACGGATTTTAATTGCAAATCATCCGTTTCAACGAATGATGACCATTGAAAACAGGTATTGTGATGCTGTTACATTTATTCCCTCGATCGATTTTTCCACGTTTTTTGGATTACGGCGCGATCGCGATAGGTTATGTCAATCGTTTGACGTAACCGATCGTATATTAGGGTTTTTTGTTATTTCACTAGGATTAATCTCTTTTTTACCAATGTATGGTAAAATTGCTGCAAACGTGGTATGATTAAATATTTTGGCAAAGGATCTGTATGGTTTTCAAAAATGATAAAAAATACAATTTTTTTAATTTTTTTTAATAGATATTAAATTGAAGTTTTTATAAAATTTTCAAATCTTACTTAAAAGTTAAACTTTATATCTATCTCAGTATTTTCTTTCGTAAATTTTGGCTTAATTTAATAACGATAAAGTTTTAAAGTTTTTTTAAGATTCATCAATATAATTATAATTGATATATAATTAATTCGATTAATTTTCATAATATAAATAAATTGCTAAAAATTATAATTTAATTCCTCGTTTGTAAATAAAATCAGAAAAATAAAAAAATGATACTTGTAAGATGTCTTACATAAACTGACCTTAATCTACTTGCACCAGAAACAAGAGAAAGCAATAATCTAACTTGTTTTCATTTCAATGATTGATTCTCATATTCGAAAGAATTTATAAAAAAAAAAAAAATATTACATTTTATATTATAATTTGAATATATTTTCATAAAAAAAGAAAATGGTAAAAACCAGCTTGTAACAAATGCACAAAAAGTAAAGAAATTGGAAATAACAATATATGGAGGACAATTATATTAATTAAAAATTAATAAGTAACCTATTGACATAATACACGATCACTGAACAAAACAAATAATCGTTCATAATAATAGATTATAAAAAAATCATTATTAAATCATAATTCTCGACATTAGAAAAACCCAATAATTAACATTTAAATAATATCCTAAACAATATGAATATATCTATAAAAATTACTCTTTTTGCTCGATGAATACGAATAATTGTGATGACGTATTTCCATCTAATGTTATTAAAACAAACTGTCGAAAAAATTGCTCCACAAAAAAATGTTGCAACATCCTCTCTCACCTCACAGATTTTTCCTCTGAACATAATCAAGATAATATTTCACGTGAAAATTACACGTATCATAAAGAAAAAAAGAAAAAAAAATACAAGACACGAACGTGTTATTTAATAAAAAAAATTTTCAAAATTAACTAGAGCATCAATTACCCTCCTGTTTTCTCCTGTTTAAAAGATGAAATCTTTTTAAAAAAAAATTCCGAGAAGAAAAGTAATCATCGAATTGTTGCAACACCACCATGTGTATAACGCTTATTTAATTGATCATCCTTTCAAAATGAAAAAAAAAAAAAAAAAACAACGAACGATAATAAAAAAATTCCCAATAAAAATCCATCTTCATCTTCTACTTCCTGAGAACGCAACAATCGGACCTCCCCCCTCCCCAATCAACGAACGACCTTGGCCGAAGGGTGCACACGTACGAGAGTTATGCTTATTTCCCTTTCTCCATCTCGAGGCCTCTGGTGGTAGGAAAAGAGACCTTGACTCATAGCACGAGATTTTCAGGCGATCACCTAAGGCCCACACACCCCCACCCCGCCGACCGGACCCCACTTGCTTAACCAATACTTAAACCGCTACTTCGCTCGGCCGCCGACTATTCACGCAGCATCGACCGTTGGACCCACATTTGATACACATATATATATATATATATATTTATATATACATATACACACATATAAATATATATATATATACGTGTGAACGCGTGCACACGTTTGTATTCCATATTTATACAGACGCGCGTTCGCGCGCGTGTCTTTAACCCCTTTCGCGCGTAAAAATAAATAAATAACAAGTGTACATATAAATCGTGAATTGTGGGTACGAGTGTTGATAGCGATTGATTTTTTTTTTTTTTTTTTTTTGCGAAGGGAGGAAGATTGTGAGGATGGTGAGTCGAAGAGGAAGAAGTGAATGTTTGTAGTATATGTGTAAAAAGGGAAGAAGATCCTGTTGAAGAAGAATTTTTTAGAATTTGACAATTCCAATATTTGAGGGGGGGGAAAGAATTGGAAGGTTGGGAAGTTAAATATCGAGGAAGAAGGAAGATTGTGATTTGTGTCTCTAGAGAGGAGATTGTGAAAAGAGAATCTATATTGAGAGGAAAGTGAGATTATCGAGGATCGATTGAAATCCGTTGGGAGAGAAGGAAAAAGAGGGAAGGGGAAAGATTGTGAACAAAGGATTCACTTAGAAGAGGGAAAATTTGTGAAAATTTGTGTGAATAGAGAGAAAGAAAAATTGTGAACAAGGAATCTATTAAGAAAAAATAATAGAAACAATCCAGAGAAAATCCATTTGTGAACTAGTGTAGAGAATCCATTAAAAAAGAGAAGATATTGAAGAAAAAATAAATAAAATAATTTCTAAAGAAAAGAAAAAAAATTGTGAACAAGAGATAACAGTGTACAGATAAAGTGCAAAGTTGGAAGAGCTTTATTCATTTGAATTTCTAAACGATTCAAGACATTGATCGATAAAAAGGAATAGGGTTTAATTTTTGGATCTGTCAAGAGGAAATTAGAAATTGAAATAATATTGAGGCTGAATAATATACGCGAAGGTGGAAAGGATTGCTGATATTTTCCTCGAGAAGAACGACGTCGTTTTCGTTGGTGAACAGGTAAGCCGTAAGCATCATTATTCCTTTGACGCGTGTCAAATTGCATTGGTTGCGCTATATGAATGAACAAATATGGGCAAATTGGTGAAAAAAAATTCTCATTATGGAAATAGGATTAGAGAAAATCAAATTTCTCGAACTCGACCTAAATTCGTTGAAGATCGAATGAAAACTGGTATTATATATGGTGGCATGTGCGATTAATTTGATCTTATGACCTGATAAATGTTATGTTCGTTGATTTGTAAAGACAGATTCGAGGAACAGGTTCCGTTATACTTTCCCATAGGATCGAGATAAAAATAATTATCTCGAATGAATAATTAAAATTCAAATAAGGTATATAAAAATTAAAATATTTTAATTTCTAGTAATATTATATCTAATATAAACAATAGTATTTATTATTTAAATTCAAATGCAATAAATAAATCGATCGTTTTTATTTTATATATCGTTAATTAAATATATCTTCCGTTTCTTTTTATTATTATTATTTTTTTATTCCACAATGAAATACTCGTTGAATAATGTCCACTATTTGATAATATAACATAATTACATATTATATGATATAATATTACAAGTATTATTCTGAAATTTTTATTATTTTTAAGAATTTTGTTAAAATATTCTAAATAATATATAATAATATTTTAAATACTATTCATTTATATAATTATTATTTTCAAAAAAAATTCATTTGCAGTATTTTATATTACTTAAAAAAAAAATAGATAAAAATATTTATTTACAATTAATCCTTTAAAACAAATTATTTTCTCTATTTCAATATATATTTCACATATATATAATTGGTATACGATGTATTCTGCCTCACTTAAACATGTATTACAATAATCGAATGATTAATTAGCACGTAAAAGTAATAATTGAGACACGAAAAGTGGATTCTGTGGCACGTGAAAGAGAATCAATCGCAAGCACGATCGTGTTCATTATGCATGACTAAAGATATATCGAATATAGAGGATCGAGGATAATAAAATTAAATCAACCTAATAAATATGAATAATGTATAATATATAAATATAATATATATAATAATATAATAATATAATAATAAATATAATATAATATATAAATATAAATATATAGAATAATAAATAAGAATGTTGAAATAGTGAAATGGCGAAAAGAATTGCAAGACGGCGTATAATTACAGTATAATTAGAAACATATTTATAAATATTTGTTTCTAACGATAGAGACAATCGGAAATATTCGGCTGTCTTCGGCAACAGTCGTCGTTGATTGTCAATCGTCGATCAGTAAAAATTGAATTAACGCAACGTGCAGTCCAACTAATGATATTTTGTGAAATATTAATTAGTTTAACTTTATTTAGTTTAAACAACGTCTTTTATGGGATCAAAAAGATAAAAATCATTGTATTTACAGATATATATTGGATTTAACATGGGAAGTTACAATAAAAACGTGGAAAGTTAACCTTAATGAACATAGTGATACTCTTATCCTAATTGAAGTGAAGTTTTCAAATAATCAAATTCAAATTTTTTGATTTCAAATAATTTAATTAATTTAAAAAAGGATCTGCAAATATTGTCAATTGTTATTAAATTATCGAAACAATTCAATGAAATTAATTATCTGGATACAATGTTTCGAGTAATTGTATCTCAATCTGTGTAACTTGATTGTGTATTTTGAATTAAGAAAAATATGACGAACGAAAATTTCACGAACTCATTGTTTACATGCAAACATCTTGCGCTTATCATTCAGATCGAACGTTTCGAGAGAGTTGCAGAATAGAGTTTTACACTTTCGAGGGTAGCCATTCGTGAAATTTTTATTGTGAAACATTGTGAAACGAGTAAAGCCGGTTGTTTGGACAAAAATAATTAGTCGACGATACTCGATCAAACGTGCAGTTTATGGAACGATTTCACGTTACGTCTGATCAGTTAGGGGTGTGTTCTACTTGAGAAAGTAGAAAAGAAGTATTAGTGACATTACTCCGACGTATTTCTCACTTTTTTACTTTCCTTACAATATCGTATCCATTATTATTATTCTTCTTTGCTTTTTTTCTTAATTTTAACTCTTCAGTCATGATTTTTTCAAAACAATAAACTAAATAAATATTTAAGTGTATCCAATCAAAAATTTCACGTATATTTAAAAATATATATACATTTATATATGTTACTAATATTATTATAACATAACTATAACTTAATTTTTCTTATAATAAAATATTATAATATTACAATAGTATAATTACTGATCTTTGTATCACAATTTAAAATTTTTATCAATATATAACATTGCATTATTATCTTTTTGTAAAAATTTTTTTAAAATTTATAACAAAAAATCTGTATAGTATATTAGATCGTCTACAAAAATTTCTCAATTTCGAATTTTTATAATTCAACGGAAAATTTTTAATTGGAAATTTTTTTTCTTTTTAATCATTAGCATTGACACGATTACAGAAAAATAACCAAAAATTTTCACAAATCTCAAAGAAAAAAAAAAATAAATAAAAAATAAAAAAGATCCTCAAGTTGACCAAAACTGTCTAAAAGTCTCATTTACTCTTCCTCTAAAGAAAGATCTTTTTTTTTTTTTTTTGCTTCCTCACAAAAACATTCTCTCGTTCGAAAACGGTGAAAAGTCCGTTCCAAGATTGGTAAAAGTGTCACCGCTTTGCTGGTCATTCCATCAACGCACGACGCGTAATTATTCGTAAACCAATTTCTCCTCCAATTACACCTGTGGCAAGTGATAAGCAGTTGTAAGTTTCGAGGCAAGTTTCGTGGATAAGATTCTGTTCTGACGGAATAAAAGAGGTCAGGCATTCTTTTTCACCGACATTCCTTTCGAATCGTCTAAAATCAGGATGCGCCGTGGCACACTTTTGCTCGAATACAAGAATTTCTTGGTATTTTTTTTTTTTTTTTCTTTTTTTTTTCACGGAAATTCGTTTGTCCGTAATTATCGAGCGAGATCAATTGTGGATCGCGAGAAAACGAAAAGAAAGAAGAGTATCTAGAATCTCCTCCTCCTGTGTTTGCGCATTGTGCACATACAGGTGGATTTCATCTCTTTGCGCTTGGAATTCCATCCACGAATATCGCAGCACGATTTATGAACATGTTTACGAAATTCTTCTTTTCCTCTCCTCTTCTTTTCTGATAATTGTTCCATCATGCGTATTTTTGATGAGAGGAAATAGTTACGTGTCATCTTCTCACTGGATTATCGTTTAAGTTGATTCTTAACTAGAATTGCGAGGGATTCGCAAAGAAGTTAATTCTTAGAGTTCAAAAAAGTAGTTTTACAAATACATGATAACGACATGAAGTCGTTAGATTCGTTCTAAAAATTTGCATGATATAATTGATACTTGTGTAATAATATTATGTTAATTGTTAATCAGATCACGAAATAGGAGCAAGAGAATTTCGTAAAATATTATTCCGATGCATGGAGTTTCTCTCGTTTGTCGGTCCTAGTGACTTTTCGCCCCCGTTTTGAATTTCCCGCGTGTAAATTTCTCCAGAACGAGTAAAAATCCAGGAATTTAATTGCTAATTCTGACGAATGTGAAACTTTGAAAAATTGATGAGTTATAAATTAAATTAATTATAATGAGATTAATTACCGGTTTTTTGCATATATTATATAAATAAACATGATACGCATCGCTGATGCGAATCGAATTAATTTTCATAAAGAGGGATCCTACTTTTCCTTATAAGCAAACTTGTACGATTGATGAACTTGTGATTAACTGTCACACTTTCTGTTTACTTAATTGTTGCTTTGAATTGCGAAATTAATCCACCAATTTATTAAATTTCGGTTCGTATGCATATCTTTGTCTAAAAAAAGTCTTAATTTAAGATTTTTTTCATAAGAAATATTTGTATTTTATTTCAGATTATCACTGAACATTATACACTCAACACTATAAACTATAACATCTTGTATTTAATTCAATAAAAATAAATTTTCTGGTATTGATTTATTTTGTGATATCTAGTTGTAATAAATCCATATTCTCACTTTCAATATTTTTCTTTCTCGTTTATCGCAAAAATTTAAAGACAAAATTCTCAAAACGCTTATTCCTTAAACAAGATTTTAAAATTTATTCACGTGTGCATTTTTACGAAAAATGAATTTAAAATATTTTATTTGTCATTTTCATTTCGAATTTCATCATTATTCTAATTTCAAGACATATTCTTATTATATTTTAGAAAAATATATATAATTTATTTTAAAAAAGGAAAAAAAAATTGCTTAAAAATTAATAAATAAATACATTCCGTATTAGTAGTTAATGGTCAACGTGGCGCTAGTGTCGCGTCGTTGTCGCGTCTTCGTATTATTAATCCACTGCTATACGTATGTAATAAAAATTGATGTTTCTCTGTAATTTTACAAATTATTTGTAATATAAAATTTTCCAGTTAGTCTATAATTGTTTAAATTTCATCATAAGTTCTAAGAAACAATTCCTTTTTTTTTTTAACAAGCTAATTGCACCTCGTTTTCCACGAAAAAGTAAAAACCGTATCAAGCACTCGCCTGGTAACAGTTCCATTTGACAAGTGATACAGACACAAGAAGTTCAGAACAATCCTGATGTACAATTATCGCGTAATTTATCGTATGATTTGACGAAATACTTTTATCCTTCGTTGTTGCAGTTAAACAAGTTCTAAATCTTTTGCTATCGTACAAAATTTTTTGCTATCAAGAGTTTATCTTTACTTTGTCGTGTATTTATCGAATCAAATAATTAAAAAAAAAATATTTTCATTGTATTTATCATATTCGAATATATCGTTTCGTGTTTATTTCACTAAGAATTTGATGTTTTGAATGGTGACTTAATGCTATAAATAATTTGAAATAAAAAATTTAAGGCAATTTGATTTCTGATTTTTTTTTTTTGCGAATTTTATTCGTAAAAACTAGATTTTTGTTCCTAGAAT